GTTCCAGTATACCTGTGTCTCGGAAATTTCCTTCTTGGAAAGAGTCGTATCTCCAGTCAATTCCCGCACTTGTAAACCTAACGGAGCCAGCCTTTTGCCGAAACTTGTTGTCATCTCCGTGGCTAGAGCCTTCATTGGGGCGATGTAGATGATCTGAAATTTGACAAAATATGACTGCGGTTACGAGCCTTACTTATAAATCATTGTGCCACGTTTATACAATTAATATTGTAAACGGAACTAATTCAGATGACAAAAGACGGGGATGTTCTTTCGGATGAGGTCAACGAGATCGCTGTTGGTACAAAAAAGTACTTCCGGGTTGCCAACCGTCCACATCCATCGCTTTTATGTTCAGCACACTTTATTGTTAATCCTCTTTAATGGTGTTGTAGAGCTCTCTGCGGATGGCATTTTTTTTCCATATTGTTTCATTTGTCTTATCAACACTGTACGCCATACGGTGCCGGCTGGTTTATAGGGGTGTTCGCCACGACTCCGTCCCACATATGATTTCTTTTTTTCCCTGTGCCTGTGCTCGATTTTTTTTCCATAACATGCAAGCCTTTTGTTTCTTCTATACCTGCTTCTTCTATCACTTATGTCAGTTCCACGAGGGACGGTGGTAATTATCCTCGTGTGCCGGAAGTGCTGTGCATGATCCCATAAGAATCGAACCCAGTACCCAACCCACTATCAACATTATATAAATAACCACTAGAAAACTCCTCCTTGAACGCTGGAACGAGGGCGGCTCCACAGCCGACTGGTGCGGAGATCGTACTTAATCTTAGAAGTTACGCTTGCATGTGCTGCTACGTTGCAACATAAGCTACGGTCAAGGATGTCCACATTTACTCGACCCTATTTCAATTAACTCTTTGCTCCCTATGAGAATGGCCTATATCATTTCGGCTTTTAGCTATTTGACTATTAGTTTTTTTCTGGCACACTCATATAGTTTATATTAAACAAATAAATAAATAATAAATTTCCATAAGCTACTCCAGAGCTGATCCGTGTTTAAGTGCCCATAAACAGGGACAAGTACAAGTTGAAGAGCTCCAGCTGAGCTCTGGAAAATTCTCAGTGGTTCAGTAACAATACTAATAACGGGGAAAGTGAGCGAAACCTTGAAGTCATCCTTGGCAATGTCACCATTCAGCATTCGATGCTCGTGGATAGTGTTCAACACGCACAGCATCGCGATGTTCGTTTTACCTAAACAAAGGAAAGTGAAAACTGCTCAGCACGTTCTTTATGCCATTCACACCAAACGATGCGCTCAGTAAAAACGTCGACGAAGAGCAGTAAGGGATCGAGCACTTTTATCGCAATAAATCTCTAGAGTTCTTATCTTATTTCACGCAACTCTCGCTTTGAAAAGCAACAAATGTAGATTAGCGCGTGATGACTACGATGATACATTTTTCAGAAGGCGCTGAACCGAGCACATGCCTGTAATGCTGTCCAGTCAGGGACATCGTTGTTGGGGAATCCCCAATAGGGGGTCGTATTTGGTCGCCAGGAGGGGGGGGGTCGTATTTGGGCTGAGAAAAATTTATTTTGATAGTTGATTTTTCTCGCTTCATGGACGTTGTAAAGGGAAGGGGGGGGTCGTCAAGCACATGAAATATGAACTCGCATAACATTCACATACTTGTTGAATATTAGTGGTCTTGGAAAGGCGGACAAGTCAGTAAGCCTCCATAACTCTGATACGCAGAATCGTTTAGCAGATTTGAAATAAGAGTACAGACGCGTCAATCGATATACATCTCGTTTCAAATGACCACTTCGACCAATCATGCTTTCCTGGTTAGTATCATGCCTTCGCCTCTCGCGGTATGCAGTGTAACTCAGATAATTCGACAGCTCCACTCTCGTAGTGAACGCCCACTTTTTTTGAATGCAGGAGTATGGCAGCATATGCTGCGGGTCCGCCTCTGCTCCCTGATTGGCCGATCTGATTTGGGGAGGAGAGTGAGCGTACTGATGAAAGCTGCTGCCACGCTAGCCGTCGGCTCTCTCTCTCTTCCTGTAACTGCTGCGAACTCCTGACAGCAGGATATACTGCCATGCTCGGACCACTAGGCGAGAAGCCTCTCCCCTCTTATTGGCTAGCCACGCCCTCCTGCTGTAAAGCTGCGACGGGCACTACTGACAGGTGCTGT